CCCACCCTCTTCCAGTTTATAGCCATTCCCCCTCGTCCTGTCACTCCATGCCCCAGTAAAAAGTCCCTCCCCAGCTCTCCTGGAGCCCCTTTAGGGACTGGAAGGCGGCAATAAGGTCTCCCTGGAGCCTTCTCTTCTCCAGGCTGAACAGCCCCAACTCTCTCAGCCTCTCCTCATCGCAGAGGTGCTCCAGCCCTCTGAGAGATGCTCAGACAACCCCCAGCCCCTTGGGGGACTGCAACCCACCTCAGCCCCGCTCCCCGACGCCCCTGGGGCCCACAGCTCCACTCCTAATCCCACTGGGAGTCCGCAGCAGCCCCCAGCCCCACTCCCCCGATGTCCATAGCCCCCGCCGCGGCCTGGAGCCGCCCCCCAGTCCCCCTGGTCCCACTCCTCCGCTTCTTCTTGGCAGCAGCCTTGGGTTCAGGAGCAAAACAGCTCTCTGGTACTGCCAGGGTATTTTGGCTGCTGCTGAGCGGCCTCAAGGTGGCCTCCAGTTCACAGAATGAATGCCAGAATCCCAGACTGGTCAGGGCTGGAAGGTCCCTCTGGAGATCATCCAGCCAACCCCCCCCGCCAGAGCAGGGGCACCTCCAGCAGTGGCACAGGACGGCGTCCGGGTGGGTTTGGGATGGCTCCGGAGGGGGAGACTCCCCCACCTCTCTGGGCAGCCTGTGCCACTGCTCCACTTCCCTCAAAGTGAAGAAGTTCCTCCTCGTGGTAAGATCGAACTTCCTATGGTCACGCTTGTGCCCGTTACCCCTCGTCCTATCACTGGGCACCACTGGAAACAGACTGTTCCCATCCCCCGGCACCCTCCCTTGAAGGATTTGTAGGTGTTAATAAGATCCCCCCTCAATCTTCTTTTCTCCAGACTGAACAGCCCCAAGTCCCTCAGCCTTTCCTCAGCAGAGAGATGCTCCAGTCCCCTCAGCATCTCCGTAGCCCTTTGCTGGACCCTCTCCAGCATATCCCTGTCCTTCTTGACCCAGGGAGCCCCGAACTGGACACAGTGCTCCAGATGTGGCCTCCCCAGGGCAGAGCAGAGGGGGAGGATGACCTCCCTCCACCTGCTGGCCACACTCTTCTTGATGCCCCCCAGGATGCCATTGGCCTTCTTGGCCGCCAGGGCACATTGCTGGCTCATGGTCATCCTGTTGTCCACCAGGACTCCCAGGTCCCTCTCCACAGAGCTGCTCTCCAGCAGGTCACCCCCAACCTGTACTGGTGCGTGGGGTTATTCCTCCCCAGACGCAGTACCCTACACTTGCCCTTCTTGAACTTCACAAGGTTTTTTCCCACACAGCTCCCGTGGTGTGCGGGGACTGTGGCCGTCATAAAGAAGTCCGATGACCTGTGGTGTTCTTCCCGAAGAGTCTCGTTTCACACGGAGCAGCTCAGCACCAGCAGCTGAAGGAGCTGAAGCCTCAGGCCGCAGGAGCTGACCAAACCTAAACTTTCTGATCAAACTGATGCTGCAAACACAGAACTTGCTGAATCGGGCAGTTGGGAGCGGAATGAAGAAGAGAAGGATGAAGGAAACAGTTCATAGAATCACCGAATGGTTTTGGTTGGAAGGGACCTTTAAAGGCCACCGAGTCCCCCACCTGCCCTGGGCAGGGACACCTCCCACCAGCCCAGGTTGCCCACGTCTAGCCTTGAACACCTCCAGGGATGGGGCAGCCACAGCTTCTCGGGGCAACCTGCCCCAGGGGATCACCACCCTCAACGTAAAATATTTCTTCCTTAGATCTAGTCCGAATCTCCCCTCTTTTAGTTAAAAACCATTAGCCCTTGTCCTATCGCTGCAGGCCGTACTAAAAAGTCTGTCCCCAGACACACTTCTTTTAAGCGCCCTTTAATTACTAAAAAGCCGCAATAAGGTTCCCCGGAGCCTTCTCCTCCCCAGGCTGAGCAACCCCAACTCTCCCAGCTTGTCCTCCCAGCAGAGGGGCTCCAGCCCTCCAACCATTTTTGTGGCCTCCTCTGGACCCGCTCCAACACGTCCGATCTCCAGAGAATGAGGTCGCTTCAGAAGAAGCGAAAACCAGTAAGAAATCAAGAGACTACCGGTCGGAATTAAGGGATTGGACTTGGGGATCGGGTGACGGGTGGTAGGGGTATAACTGGGGGTATGATCTGGGGTAGGGTCCCTCTCCGGAGGCACCCAGCTTGAGTTGTCACCTGAGGACTCATCAAAGAGGAACTGGTGCGTGGGGGTGAGCGTGCGATGAGGCACTGGGGCAAAGCTCTGCGTACAGCAGGATGGCCATACGGTGGTGCGAGTGAAACCCCGCTGGATGCAGAAACTCCCACGTGCACCGGGGACGATCGTGCAACACAAACACTGGTGTGCACAGAAACCCCCGCCCATCAGGAACAATGGCGCACGCGTGGCTCCATGTACCGCCGTTCCGGACAAGGTTCCAGCGTGCAACTTGCCCTCACACAGACCCCCATGCCAGGCAGGGGGGCAGATCCAAAGCAGGTTCCCCCCCAAAAAAATGCGTGGCGGGGGGCTGGGGATCTGCAGAAACACCTTTTATTTTGTCGTCTTGTCTTTTTTTTTTTTTTTTAAAGAGAGCATACGTCCCCCGCGTGCTTCTGCCCCCCCCTGCCACTATGGAGATGGTGGGGACAAGGATGTTTTGGAGGTCCCCTGCCACCCGGCGGGGGGCACTCACCCTGTAGCAGTGGGTCAGGGTGCCCCCACATCCTCCACCCAGTCCCTCAGAGGGGTGACAGCCGTCACGGGGCCCTGTCACAGCTCGGGGGTGGCGTCGGTGTCGGCCTGTCCCATCGGCGCGGGCAGGCGGAGCTCAGCATCATGGCGGCTGAGGGAAAAGAGACGGCCAACGGCCAGCAGCGCCAGCAGCGCAACCGCCGCGCAGAGACCGAACATGCTCCTGGTGCCCGTCTGACGGTCGCTGTCGTGGAGAACCAGTAAACCCAGACAGGCCAGTAAGTTCAGCGGGAGGCGAAACCAGTTCATCACCCCCAGGCGATCCTTCTCTGGCACCACTTTCTGTCGGAGGAAACCCATGGCGGGGAAGTAGAGCCCACAGGAGAGTTCAATGAGGAGGAAGGCGAGGAAGGACTCGGACGGGCTCTCCTGGCTGGGGTTCGTGGAGAAGGTGAGCATGAAGAGGGAGAAGAAGACGAGGAGGACAGCGAGGGAGAGGAGGTGGACGGGCTGGAGGTGGTACCTCTTGGAGATGGCCAGGTGGTAGACCGAGGAGCCCAGCATGCTGGCGGCCATGAAGCCAGAAAAGACGATGCCCAAGGGAGCACCATGGGGATCCAGGACGGGAGTCCAGAGGAAGATGAAGATGTAGATGACGCTTTCAAAGAGAGCCTGGATGGTGCCTAGGAGAAGGACACGCCGGTCGGAGAGGAGGCACTTCAAACCGTCGCCACAGGTTTTAGAGAAAGCTCGTTTCTTCCCGTAGTTTTCATCCCAATTTTTCACGGCAAAGACCCCTGACAGCACCAGGAGGGGAATGGAGACCATGAACGGGGCCACTGGGCCCAACCCCAACCACTCAGCGAAGAAATCGGCTGTCCCCCCAGCCCCCACGGCGATGACGTTGTTCCAAAAAGCCGCCCGGGAGAAGGTGACGGTGATCCACTCAGTCGGAAAATCGTACCGCTCTACGTGCTCGTGGACATACCACGCCTCAAAGGCGGAGAAGAGCAATGCCGTGGACAACCCCCCTAAAACTCTCCCCGCCGCCAGCACCAGATAATCCCGGGAGAGTTTGGCCAAACAACAAATTGAGTAGGTGAAAGAAAAAAGGACGCAGGATTTTTTCCGACCCAGTCGATCTACTAGAGAGGAGGACACCAAGCCGAAAAGGACGCTGGAGGCAAAGCCGCAGACGTAGAGGATGGCGATCTGTCCCTCCAAGAATCGGTAGTGCTGGTAGAGTTTATACAGGTAGGGTCC